TACGATGTAGAATGGGGCTGGAGACGTAGAATGTGTGTCATCTGGTTTTATCGTTTCTTCGTGTATTGGGTCACTGAGTCAGGAGGCAGAAGTCTCACTAACAATGGATATAGTCTTGATTTGACTGCAGGAATCCATACTCTTTGGTTCTTTCGGTAAAGTGACGTAGGTAGAAAATAAAATAAATCACGACGTTTCGGGCGCAGCACATCAGGTGGGAAAGCACCTGATGACGGACGCTTGTGTTGCGGCCGAAACGTCGTGATTTATTTTATTTTATACCTACGTGACTTTACCGAAAGAACCAAAGAGAATAGATATAGTGCTTGTAAAAGATATGGTGTGAAATACCAGATTTTTATGTGTTCAAGTCATTTTGTTGCATGCACGGTTAATCTGCAACTTGGTTAATATGCCCGCACACAGATATCCGTGAATTAACTGGATTTTCGAAAACCTACCTTTCTTGCTCTTTTAATATTGCAAGCACATATTTTGAACATTTGAGTTCATTGTCACTGTTCAACTGTAGGTCTCACTTCATAATAATTAGCAATTATATGTGCAGGATAAAGGAAGGTCAGTTTACCACAACAGAAAATGGAGTGGGCACCCAGAGGTTAGCACAGGTGGAAATCCAGCATCCAAGAAAAGTTGAATATTGTAAGAGTATATATATTTTTTATGGCAGCTGTCGAATGTGTATCTCCTGTATAATTCATCAAAAATAAGTGATGGTGAGTTGTAGTGACACCAACGGCATTGGTGTTTATGACCTGCTGGCCTTCTTCAATGCAAAAAGTGGCAAATTGCTCAAATGTGATGGATGATACACGAAAATAATTTTGCTGCATTTTGGAATTGTTTCCTGGTATTGTTTCTCTTCGAATTTGCAGGTGCAAAACTGTTGTTGTTGTTGTTGTTTTACCTGGGGGATGAAGATTTGAGGGTGTAGCAATTTTATTTTTGGCTGACATTTTTTAAATCGTTTAACGTTCCCATATTCGATTTAAAATAAGTATATATCTCCAAAGTTACTACTTAACACTGCCTAAACTTAGGGGGTAGAGCTGGTTACACAGTGATAGACACACTGTGCGATACAGTAATCCTAGCTACCTGGGCTCAATTCCTGGCCATGGCTAACATCAGGAATGTGAGATATCTGAATCGATTTTGCCTTCTTGCTGCCCGCCCGCCCATTTCACCAGATTGAAAACTCTTCTCTTTAGAACTGCTTGTTGTGTTCAGTTTGTTGTCCTCCCCCCGCACCTTCGAATAACACTGTTGGCTACGTACGGTGGGAAAGAAGTTTCGCAAAAAACAAAGACCCCCCATATAGCCTTACCAGACTGTTGGGGCAAGTGCTGTTAGCGAGCATTTATGAAGGCCAGCACAGCACACGAGGGGGTGGGTGGCCAGCACCACGCCCGACCGACTTTGTCTCCCCAGTAGCGATGTTTACACTTCGCACCAGATACTCATTTGAGGCTGAGTCGACCTAGGGGAGGCCCAGGACCGGTTGAAATAGTCGTCACTGGTGTTGGCTGTGAGCGGGAATCGAACCCGGGTCGCCAGGTTCATAACCACTACACTACCGCTTCCCACAAGATGTTCAACACACATACCTACACATACCAATGGTTAAACTCGCCGCATCACTGATAATAATTCAATGTGGGCAAGGCCTTAAACCTGCAGCGGATTGGATGGTAAATTATGACAGTTAATTTTGCGTTCTGTCTTTGCATCTATGAAAATAATTATTAACGCTAAACGTCACCTTAACCCCGAGAATGAATCGTAAATTAAATTGATTACAGATCTATGCCATTGTTCAGAAGTCACTTCGAAGCCCTCCCATTGATTGATCGTAGGGCCTCTGCCAGCCTCACAATACACTGCTGTTTTGTAAAGAAACCCAAATTGTTTCTTAAACAGCACCCAGTGGGATAGCAAGGTTGTAAATTGATTCCAAAATGCAGACAATGCTTTATCATCCTCGATTAATTGCTTTTAACATTTCATCACGTTTTCTGCATTACGTTTTTCTGCATTACGGCATCACTGAGTAAGAACTAATCAATGTACACGTGGAAGATATCTGCTGCCACCTGTTGGAAAATAACATAGGATGCTCTGAAATGTACTTGTGCGTGCCTTTCTGTATGTTTTAATCACGCGGCATCTACAGATGCAACAATATCTCACACAAGTGAAACAAAGCTTCAGTAAATACGCTAAGCCCGGCATTGCCAAACATTCCCCGATACGCTCCACGCTGCACGTCTGAAGCTTGGAATAATTATGGACGGCTGTCATGATCATCACGTATGAATGGTTGAACTTCCTTCTCACCGTACGTTGCCAACCGTGCTAATCGGAGGTGCGGTTTGCACGCGAGTGGCTAATTCAGACATTGTATTTGCACACAAAGGCACGGGCGGTTGTCACTGGAGTTTATTGAAGAACCCATGAAAGCATAATTCTGGTTAGATGTGCAACTTAATGTGTAACAAAATCAGTTTTTGTGATAATTATTTACCTTGCAACACTCGTCAATGTGGTAAAACAAAACAAGGAAGGTTGTGTTAAGTCAATAACGTGTGAATATTTGTGAAAACGGAAAGCCAATGGTGTTGTACAATTACTGTGGTTGATCTATCTGAACAGTTGTAAGAAGAACATACAATCCAGTCCGGTTGAGGAAAACTTTATTTGCCATCCAAAACTGGTATGATTGACAGATCAAGCCCTCTAGTGGAATATTTTTTGCTTAAGAGAATGCACTGTGAACATTTGATTTATCATAGCCATTGGGATAACCTGCCTGGCATTTTTTTTAATGGAATGTACTGTGTAGCAATACATATTACATGTGCACGTATTCGACCAAGTAAATGTAACATCTGCACGTATTATTGCACGCTTAAACGAGAAAAAATACTGTTCGTGGGTTTACGGTCTGGAGTAACGGTAATACTTTGATCCTCAACAGACTACTAATTGCGGTATACTATTTTAAATCAAACACTGCACCAGTTTTTTTTTTATTATAACCCTATGTGCTATGAATGAGTGGTAAGAAGAACACTCTAACGATGGGATGCAATACAGATGAACACTTTCAGTATGTAACCCCGAACACGAGTGCCCTTTTTATTACACAGATTTCCACGTGACATTTTCAGAATATCGCGAGTAAATCGGTTTGTTTTAGAAGCACGTTCTTAAACATTTTATTGTATCCTACGAGTAAATAAATAATTGTTCATAACGTTTGAAATCTCAGGGTAGTGTGACCCCTTGTGTTCAAGAATGGCCGTGCAAGAAATTTTCACGTTCTATCTATATTTTAAAAAGTGATCTTTTTAGATTTACACAATTTATGGAGTTGCACTTTCCCATACATTGGTATTAGATCGGTATGTTGCATGGCAGACAATACGATATGTTTAATGTTGATGACAATGTAGCCAAATTACGTGAAAATTACATATTTTTATATATGTAAACATAAAATGGTATTTTTTGTGCAGTAATTGATAACTGGGCTGAGACCGTCAACTGCCGACACTTGAAAACGGAGTTTTTTTTTCACGTGGGTGTCCACCCTGATTCAAACCCAGGACCCAAGTGGTGCTGGTTTACTGATCTGACCTCTGAGTCAAGCAGTCACTGCATGCGTAGAGGTTTCATAGTGAGACGAAAACACTGACCAACTGTCGGCTTTTTCTGAATCTTGACCTTCGTGTGCTAACCATATGAATTACAATATATGATAATGTGGAAATTCAAAGGGGGTGACTATTTGAGCTGCATATAAGGAAGCAATTAATAAATGTGAATCTTCATACTTGCATTCGGTTCTCAAAATATTTTCACCACCTTTGTAAGTGTACATTCACACATGCGCACAAATTCCAGAGTTTTAAGTTTGAACTCAAAAAAATGTCATGGTACGAGCCAGGGTCTCTAGTGTTTATGGGGCTCTCTCACAATTGTATTAAGGGGTCCTTTTATTCAGGGGTCCATGAGAAATGTATGTTAGATTGAATGAGTCCTTTGTAAAATGTAAGTCGGCAAATTGGTTCTGCATACGGAGTCTATAGACATCACCATCTAACTGTTTCCACATAAACTGTGAGCCACTGGGGGTCCCTCAGATACCAGTGGCACAACATTTCTTAAGTTATATTTATTCTAAATGTGCAATGTAAGTCAGTGTGAACTAATGGAAACGCCGCTTAAGAAATTGCATGCGACTGGCTATGGTCGCCCATATACATCATCTTATCTTGCACTGGCGAACTGCGATATAATCTAGACGTTAAAGTCTACGCGTGGTCGATGATGACCACAGCAGCAGCAGCAAGCAGCACGTTCACACAACTTCGTTTTCGTCTGGGGAGACCCTACACAGCAGCCTCCGCAGCCTGCACGGCTTGCCCTCCTCTCGTTTCTCCTGGCCGTCAACAGACTCAACCCTGTCCTGGTCGACGGGTACGATCTTGTCGTAGAGGACGGCCACCAGAGCGAGGCACAGCACGGTGAGCGTGAATATCAGCAGCACGGTGAAGCAGGCAATGTTCCAGCCGTCACGGAACGCCTCAAACCGGGGGCTTGTGAAAAACCTGGCCATGACTCCGTTTCCGTCAGGGATGCCTGCTATGATGGCGGGAAGAACGGTGGTGTTGTTCATGTCTGCCTTGGCTCTCACAAGTTGAGTTCGGCTGCAAATGGAATTCATAGAATGATCACAGAACAAGGAGAACATGGTTAAAATAATGTTTTAATAAAAGTGTAAACAGTACAATGGATACCTCAGCTGATTCGAATCATTGCTATACTTTACTATAAACAAAAAAACTTGCAATATTATGTTGTTTTGCAAAAAAGATACGCATTTGTATGAGAAATAAAGTAAACATTTACATAGCATGTGTGTGCCACAGGACAATTTCATGGGTAGGGCTCCTCACCTCTGAGCCAGTGTGTGCAGAGTAAACAGTTCAAATTGTGATGTTGTCCAGTAATTTCCATGAGATGCTATTGCCAATGGAGGTTGTTTCCTGCAATGTTGACCGTAAGGGTCCTGTGAGATCTTACAAACACAATGTCATAACCCAAAGCCCATATGTGAAAATTCAAACGCCTAATAAATCCATGCCCAAACAAGCATTGCTCATCACCTCTGTTGGGAGCCTTCAGAATGTCCAGAAGAAAAACTTTTTAAAACCTATATGCAAATAAATTTACCCACTTACCTAAGTCTCTCGCAAAATAGTTTCTGTAGATCTCACTCAGCTGTTACCTGGTCAAATGACATACCATCATTGTAAACAAAACCAAAAATAGAACAAGTATAATATAGAACAATCTTTGTAATGAATCGCAGCTTTTAATTAATAAACATTGTTTTCCTATAATTGTGTTGTGTACATTCTCGACCAAAATCAGATGCAAAACCACCCCCACTCTTGCTGCAAGAATAATAATACATCGGTATGTCAGTAGGCCAATTACCACTCAATCGGTTGCCATTCGTGATGTCAACGGAATCTAGGGAGCATTGCAAGCTCTCTATCTACTTTCTGTGCGTGTGGGTCATTTGACTACCGTGCTGGTTTTGGCAGAGTTTCAATAACACTTGTAAAACGCACACGGCTCAATTGTTAATAAGGTCGCAAAAGCCCCTCGCATTCTGAAGCAGAACACATTCAAGGGCAAAACCAGTTCAGAAATTGAGCAAAAGTGAATATGCATTCTATGCATAATTTAAGACAATTTAAATCATATTCTCAACAACAATTGTACTAAAAACACTATTTCAAAAATAACGACCATTAAATGTGTTCACACCCGCGTGCACTGCGGTGCAATTTGCACACTCCCCTTATAGATCAACCAATAAAAAAACCCAGCACATTCATGTGAGCATGCCAAGCAATTGCCTTTGTTTATTGGAATACACTGCATTATAATGACAAATGTGGGCTACTACCACAAACTCATTTGGCGGTTAATAATATAACCTAAATGGGAAAGAATGATGTGTCTGTGAGAGCTGCCTTAATTTGCATGTCGCAATCGTAGAACATAACAACGCGTTCTTTAACCATTAGCGACCACAGTGAGCAGGCTGTGTGGAAAGCGAGCCTTGTCAGCCATGCTGTCTCATCGACAGTGAGCACAGATCGGCCTCGTGGACATTGCAGGGCACCGCGTCTCTCGGAACAACCCCACGAAATATTCTCTCCCACGGCTGACAAATACAAGAGAGCTTTGTGCAAACAAAAAAAAAGCGTACATTTTTTTAAATAGAAAAAATAAACACAAGAGGACCGCAACGTGTCGATATTAATGAAAGAAAACAATATATATACCCTCCGCCTAAGATGTATTTTGATTAAAAAAAAACACAACGTTCACATTACAAATATCAGGATAAATATTGGGTTTGGTTGAGGTTTACATAATCGCTCGGAACAAAAATAAAGAATGATTTAAAAAATAAGAATAATGAGGACAAAAAAAAACCTGCAAAGGCAAGAGCAAGCGACACACACACACGGCTGATAAGCCACCAAGCACAACGCGAAGGGAGGCACCGCCGACGGTGCGACGCACGTTTTGACAAAATCTTGCACGATCATGGGCCGCGTTGTTATGGACGATTTATTGACGGTTAAAGTCATAATCAGAGGCAACGAATGCATGCGCTGTTTAGAGTCACCTTCAAATCCAACGAGCCGTCATTTGCACGGATGCACAAATCTTCCTATTGTGTGCTCGCCCAGCGGTGTTTCTGTCGCCAGCTGATCTGCCCGCACAAAGCACACCACGGATCAAGGGGGGGTGAGCGGAGCAGCATTGCATTGGCGCATTCTACCCGCTCATTGGTGGTGGCGTTGAAGGGATGCACACCGTGTACCCATGCCTTCGTCGCAACTCGTTACCGGGCACTGGTTAGTAATCCACCCTGTCACTCGCCAACTCTGACTGGACAGAACTGACTCCTCTATCGCATGTGTTGTATGTTGCAATGATTGTATAGGCTGGTAGGAATCCGCCTTTTCGCTGTTCCAATGGTACAGCCCAATAACTCTTGTCAATTCATCCTCTGGGATGGGCACTCCACGTGGCAGAGTCAGGTGGTACATCTCTCTCGTCAGCGGATGAAAATGCGCCGCCGCACAGACTCTGCAGGAGATGCAATACTGCGGCGTGTGAGATGCTCACATTAAAACATCTCCTCCGCTTAAAACTGAAATCATTGCGAACATTGAAGTCGCTCTAAGAAATAGCTCGCCTGCAGATAATGTACGAAGTGTGTTAAATTAACAATGAGCAATCATTTTTTAGCATCCACGGTATTGATTGCAAAGCCAATTATTGTAATGCAAAATTAATAATTTTCTATGAATCGCTTTCAGAATACGATTGCACGAATTTTACATCTTCAATAAAATTTGGTTCATTTTGTTATTGCCTTCAAAGTAAATTGTATACTGATATGGCGTTGTGATGTATGCTAAATGTGTGAATGCTTTTCGAAATATTAATTACATGCCAGTTTATATTGCGGTTAATTACATTCTTTAATATGAGTGTTAATTTTAAATGCAGCCTCTTCTGCTGCTTTAATTCCTTGATAACCCATTGAGATAGTCTTTCTTGAAAAGGAAATGTGGACGACCAAAACATAGACAATTTATTTAAAAGAGTCAACAGTTCATACATATTATTTATTCAATGGCTATGTTATAATTGATCACATTATTTGCCAATAGTTTTCAGATATGTAATTTGGGCTATGGTTTAGGGCATACCAGAGCAGGGTTGGATACGTATGGTGCGAAGAAAGTTAAACATACTCACATATCGCAGTGAAGAACAGACTGATGGCAATGACAATTCATTCTTTAAAATATAAACAAAACTATTTTTATTTTACCAAGAAAGGCCCACTGAGCTATATAGCTCGTTTTCAGAAGCGACCTGGCCACAAATGATAGCTCAACGAAGTGGCTTATCACGAGGAAATGTATAGCATGTTTCTAAAGATAGAGGGAAAATCCGGAGGACCCGCAGAAAAATCCACGTGACTACGGGGAGAGAGAAAGACATGCAAACTCCAAATGTAGGGATTGAACCCACGATACCCTGTATAGCAAGCGAGGTAGTTCACATTTAGCCACCGTGACGCCATCAGTGTGTCATTGGGAGTCAGACCTATGATTCGTTCCAAGCAGGCTCACAGGTAAAACGTGAAAAGCGTGACGATCACCAGCTCACAAATTCTTCCAGTTTTATTAAAACTCTGCCCCGTGCCCTTTATTATGACTACCTTCAGGACTTGCAACCACCCTCCAGCAGCAGCAGCAGCAGAGAATGAGCATGCTCTACACATGCGCCTGGCAGATAAGAAGCCTGCACACCATAACTGTCATGACAACTGATTCACGTTCGGCCGCTAAATGGCTGCCAGAGAAATAGGACCACCCCTGCTTCTCGTCCCATATGTAAACAAGGCCTGGATGTGGCCGAGTGCGGCTTATTGATCGGCAGGGGCATGGATCACAGCTCTCGGGAACCACCGCCCCCTCCCCACCACACTGCAAGGAAAATTCGAATGTTAACAGGGCACTGCTTGAGGCTACAAATGACAATATCTTCAAGTTCCTCTCTTAAAACTCATCTTTTTCATGAGCGTATCCCTCTGCTACTTCCTGTGCGCATCCTTGAAACCTGAACCATTCTTCCCCTTCCTAACCTCGCCAGCCCTTCGTTTCCCTATCATCACCCTTCCTTGCCATCCCTTCCCCTCCCCAACACTCAACCCCCCATCCCTAATGTACAATTTATAATTCTTGTAAAGCGCTTAGATAAGATAAGAAGAAGTGCATTTTAATCACCTCCAAAATGCACCCACAGTGCAACTGTTTCTCTGAACTTACGATGCATTTGCCGTTTGTTTCCCCTTTGAATGCTGCACTGAATTCAGTTTGTGTCCATTTTCAATGCAAAATGTTGGCTCTGTAACAAGGATTCCAGAAACGAATTAATTCTTGATTTCGTGGAACATCTTTATTAAACGAGCTTAACTAAGACATCTTGCAAATTTATGGATGTTCCACCAACATGAAAAAACATCATTTATCAGAAATAGACTGGCATGGACATTTGGCATAAACGATATTATCAACTGCCCAGTGATGAGTAATAGTAGTGATGGTATCTTAGCCAGTACACTGGCATTTAAAGACAACGATGATATATTTTCAGCACTACAATCTTACGTCAAAGTATATTTATTTTACCAGGTAAGGCCCCCTGAGCTATATAGCTCTTTCATTAGAAGCGACCCGGCCACAAATTACAGCTCAACGAAGTGGCTTATCATGTGGAAATATACATCAGCCAAATACTCGAAACGCATGTTTCTAAATGTGGAGGGGAAAATTCAGAGGACCTGGAGAAAAATCCACACGACCATGGAGAGAGACAGACATCGCAAACTTCAAATATACAGCAGGCGTCAGGTTCAGGATAGAACCGACGACCTCCTGTATACCAGGCATGGTAGTTAACATCTCCTAGCCACCGTGGCATCTTCCTGCACACTGCAGTGGAGCCGAGGCAGGATCATCATCGTCTTTGCAAGGCAGCTGTTTTGGGATCTGTAAATATTCCCGTGACTTTAAAGTTCCCGGTTTTTGTCAGTTGCGTAACAACGACTCCGATGGTGTCTTTGGCACCATCAGGCACGTCACGTTAAGCGTCGCTTTTGTTGGGGGTTTAATGAGATCGGGGCTGAAGAAGCGACCACAAAAAAAAGTAGTCGCTTACAATTTAAGGCGACTAATAAACTCATTTTAAAGTGGAAACGAATGACGCAATGCGCAGTGGACACCTATCTGCCCACGAATCGTGATGATGATAATGAATAAATAGACTTAACCCCGACTGATTGTCCGCAGCCCCTAACGAGTCGTTGCAGTAAACAATTCCACCGTCAGATGGCGCTAAGAGTGCGTCTGTAGCTTTGCACCTTGCTGCCGCATTGCGAAGGGCAGTTCGAGCGTGCGGTGCAGTTACCACGTGCGGTGCAGTTTCCACGTGCGGTGCAGTTACCACGTGCGGCCGCCAGATGGCGCCACGCTCCCTACGCTGCTTGCGTCAAGTCTCGTCTCGCGATGTCAATGCTGAAGGTGCCAATGACTATTATATTTTTTGTATTCTCTGGTTCTTTCGGTAAAGTCACGTGGATGGAAAATAAAAATGAAATAAAATTTAAAATAAAATTTATAAAAATGTAATAAAAAATACATTTTTTTTATATTTTTATTTTCCATCTACGTGACTTTACCGAAAGAACCAGAGAATACAAATAATATAGTAGTCTCGATTTAAAGCTTTCGTGACTGCAGGGATTCATCTTCTTGGTTCTTCCGAAAGAACCAAGAAGATGACTATAGTAGTCATTGGCACCTTCAGCATAAAATAAAATTTATAAAAATGTAACAAAAAATACATTTTATTCTTATTTTTTAAGAATATGAATTCCTGCAGTCACGAAAGTTTTAAGTCAAAATCGTGCCAATGACTCTTTACGCCCTCGGCTGGCAATACATGGCATTGCGGCTTTTGCCTGTGATCCTCTCGCTTCGTGGCTTCCACATGGGTCGCCAACAAAAACATTGTAACAGGAAGGGCCATGCTTTCTTCGGTAAAAAAAACAACTCAATATTTCAAGAGCGGCGATGCATGTGAATACGAGATGGTGGTGGTCCTGAATAAATAACGCCACGAAGCAGTCCTTAAAGAGCAGCGTTGGGCTCCGAAGCCCGCAGTTTGCCGACCCCAGGACTCTAGCCCGTACCACACGTGTCCTTGTGAGGATGCAACAACGCATCTATCACTTTATCAACTAATATCAATTAGTAAACGCAAGATGCATGCAATAAATTGGGTGTGAAATGTGCTTGTTTTTTAATTCTGTGTTTTGTTTATATGTTAATGCGTGGAGTGAGTGGTGCACGTTTGGAATTAAATTGAGAAAATATGCGCATGTTCATGACATAAGTGTTAAGGACGCAGGACATATCGGTCGGGGAAATCATTGCCGATGGTTGGAATGAATCAGAATCGTTTTTACCATTCGAGCTTGCGTTTATCAATGATCTTATAGTCCAACACAGACTACATCACACGTGAAAAGACGGATAAAGTATAAAATGCGTGCCACGATCTCCTCCCCCACCACCCCGTGATTCAACTGCTGGGCTTGAACATCGCAAATTGAAGCATCCAAGAGGGCGTCTCCTGGGAGGAGATAGAACGATGAAATGTAGCTCATGGGTAGGTGCTGGTGGATTACCACATCACAGCAGTGGAGTGACCCCTTCACCCACTAGAGCTTCTACGTTCACTCGTGTTTGACATAAAATTGTCAATTATGCAATCAATTTGCGATGTTCAAGCCCAACAATTGAATCGCGGGGGTGGTGGGGAGAGGAGATCGTGGCACGCATTTTATATTGTATCCATCTTTTCACGTGTGATGTGGCCTGTGTTGGACTATAAGATCATTGATATAAGCAAGCTCGAATGGTAAAAACGAGACATTGATGAGCATCAATTCACAACCGGGCTTAGCAAACACGATTACATTGAATCTTGATTTGAAGCTTTCGTGACTGCAGGAATCCATACTCTTTGGTTCTTTCGGTAAGTCACGTGGGTAGAACGCTTCACGCAAATTCGTGAAGCTTTCCATATTTTTGTGATATATTATTTTTATTTTGTTTTATTTTTCTAACTACGTGACTTTACCGACAGAACCAAAGAGTACGATTACATTGTTTTTGTTAAACTAATACCGTACAATTAACACCATTGCAAGCTCAAGTCACAGTGCCAGAGTCTGCCACTTCACAAGCAGGCCAGTGGAAATGCTCGTAGTTGTCTGATCTGAACACTTCAGAAAAGTATAATTGCATTCCTCCATCACAGTTGGGCGCTGTCGGTGTGTGGATCCGCCACCAGCACAGACTCGCCTTTCTCTTGCTGACCACCTAATGCCAACGCTATTAGCTTAACGTGGACCTCCTGACACTGACCCCTATAGGATGGCCGCAACAGCCCTCTCCCCACAGGGTCAGTGAACTCCAGAATGTCAACAAGGAAAACAAAGTTTAACACGTAGGCTTTCTGTGAATGTTGTGGATTCACTCTTCAACACACCGGTGGGCTAAAGTAGTGAACTATTTGTCTTTTGTCAACGTGACACTTTTTTTTTTGCTGATTGGTCGTGTCGAGTGGTGGAGGGTTACGACACATTGATGAATAACGCGATCTAACCCAAAAACGTTAATTATGAAGTAAAAAAAAGTTCTTATTGTCCAGATAATCATTTCCAAAACGAACGTTGTACCACAGCCTATGTATCACAACACGTGCAGGCCGATGCTTTGGCGGCAATGTTTTCTGTTTCGCTGTGAAATCGTAAGTAGTTCAGTTTGCGCAGCGCGTGTGTTTCTCACTGCACTATGAGCCTGGCAAATTGAGATCAGCTCCCAGCCGTGGCTAACTTCAGTCGCGACTGCTTTATGAATTCATCATAAGTGACCCCTCTTCTTGGTTCTTTCGGTAAAGTCACGTAGAATGGAAACATTTAAATAATAAAATAAAACATAATAAAATAATTGTCACGACGTTTCGGCCACAACGCAAGCAGCCGTCCTCAGGTGAAGACCAGGTCTGTCGGGGAGAGTCTGAATGAAACACCACCACGCTTGGCAGCGTATATTTAAGCTGGGTTGGAAGGGGGGAAGGGCGCCTTGACAAAAGAATTCGCATATCAAGATGAATTTTAGCATATTTATGGGAAATGCAGGTATGTGATTAGTACTACTTGTGAAATGCGTAAGTGACCCCCTTCAGCAAGCCGTACTGACCAATGTGGTGGAGTATGGTCAAACTACTCTCACGACTGACAAAAGTATAGGGACGCCTTTAAACAGCCGTGAATTTACAATTCTTGCAGCTGCAAATGATTACTCATTCATATACTATTAAAATATCTAATTATAAATATAAACAATTGTGGGGGTTGACCAACGTCAAATTATTCCTACGATCGACGACAATGGATTGACAAAGGGCCATGAATTATACGTATAATTGTATACTCGGGGAATACAGACAAATAAATAATGTATGTATTGATTGATTTGTAGTAGGCCTACAGTGTTGGGGCTCTGTAATTGAAAAAAAAACAATTTCTCCACATTCACATCAGGCACCTGGGCCAGCAAAGTAACAGAGCTTGTCATATTATTAGTCCAGCTGAACATTGCCTATCCAC